CTCCATGAGATGGATTCTGTGACTCCATCGACCCATTTTATATTTGGGAAAATTGAGGCTGAGTCACTTTACTGAAGCAAGTCACTTGTTTGGATTGGTATGACTTGTCAGTGACTTCCCTGTGCCCTTTGAGCTTCAGTTTTTTCATCTGAAAACCGAAGATCCTGAATACCTTCAAGGGTACAACAGGGGCTCGGGCTCCTGGGTTGGGACACTCAAGTCCTCCTTACCTTGGTTTCCCTCCCTGGTCCACAGGGAGCAGCTCCCTGAGTCGGCCTACATGCACCAGCTCTTGGGCCTCAACCTCCTCTTCCTGCTGTCCCAGAACCGAGTGGCTGAGTTTCACACAGAGTTGGAGCGCCTGCCTGCCAAGGACATCCAGACCAACGTATACATCAAGCACCCCGTGTCCCTCGAACAAGTGAGGCTGGGAAGGGGGAAGGAGGGCCTGGCCAGGGTGGTGATGCTGGGGCAGATGTTAGGGAGAGTTTTCTGTAGTAGTGTTCAGGGTTTACCATGCCAAACCCATGGACTCATTTGTTTCTGCATCCAACAAATAACGAGCCCCAGCTGTGTATCAGGCATTACGGTGGGTTCTCAGCCTGTGCAGGGTCAAACAGAATCCTTGATCCTAGTGGAGATGATAGTTAGGTGAAGGAGTCAGGGAACCAAAGAATAAGTAACCTGTGTAGTCTGTCGGATGTCAAGGCTATGGAGAAAAATAATGCAAAAGGTATGGATTAGGGGGCAAGAGTGGAATTTTATATGGGGGATCAAGGAAGGGCTCACTGAAGAGGTGAGATTGGAGGAAGACTTGAAAGGGCTGAGAAGCAGATCCTGTGGAAATCCAGGCAGAGGAGCAGCCAGTATAGTGTCCAGAACACTATGCTATGTTTGAGTGACAGCAAAGAAGACAGTGTTTGGGACAAGGTGAGTAAGGCCAGAGGAAAAGCCTGAGGAGCTGGGGTTAGGAAGTTGCTTCTTGGCTGGGGTCTGGGGAGGATTTGTCTGTGAGAAGGGAATTCGCAGAGGGCAAGTAGGGCAGGCAGTACAGTTTGGGCACAGGGATGGAGGGGAGTGACCTGGGCTATCTCCTTCCTGTAATTGGAGAGGAAATGAGGTAATATGTGTAATGAGTACATACGTGCGTGTGTAAGCCAGAGGAGGAGCAAAATCTGCTGGGGAGTAAATGGCTGTGTGGTGGGTTTCTGGCAGAATGGGGATTATGGGTGTGGGAGGCCTCTGTGCTGCCTCTTCATCCTCTTTGTCATGGTTGGCCTCTGCAGTACCTGATGGAGGGCAGCTACAACAAGGTGTTCCTGGCAAAGGGTAACATTCCTGCCGAGAGCTACACCTTCTTCATTGACATCCTGCTGGACACTATCAGGTGTGTTGGGCCTAGGCCCCTTGGGATTCAAAAGAATTTGGACCCTGGCATCAAACAGCTCTGAGTTTGAATCCTGTTCTGGCTGCTGACGATCTGGGTAGAATGGCACGTTTCCTGTCTTCTTGGTTTTCTGGTTCTCCTTTTCTGTGAGCCAGAGCTGCTTACACCATGGTGGACAACAGACCTCCACTTGTTCCAGACCGTTCCCATGAGTGGCCACAGGTGTCAGACTGAGTCTGGGCGTGGTGCTGAGACAGCTTATCAGGCAGGGGCCGCGCTGCCTCTGTGACAGGTGCTCCAGCCTTTCAACCAGGGATGCACCCATGAATCACATGGCCTTACCTCAGAGTGCCTAATCTATGGAGTGCTCAATTTTCCCTTCTCTAGAATAGGGTCACCATGTCCTGCCAGCCCCTTCAGTTGCTGTGTGTACAGGTGATAGCATGTGAGAAGTGAGTATGACATACAAGTCCCCTGAGATATAGAAGGGTATCTCAGTGGTAGCAGAGTTGATTCACTTGAGTAAAGCAGCAGATTGAAATGAGTTTCCATTCTTTGGGTGACAAAAGCAGCCTCTTGGGTTTAAATTAAGATTGGTTTGTTGTTATTTTGTGTGAGACTGGGGATTGATCCTAGCACAGTAATGGCAAGCATTTTAGAGCTTTCAATGAGACAGGCAGCTGGCTGTGGCATGTGTGCCATAGGTTCACCATGACTGTCCTAGGATATTCACATTGAGCTACATTTCCAGCCTATTACGGTTTTTTTTTTTCGTACCAGGGATCGAACTTGCAGGTTCTTCTGCTTTTTGAGGGAGGTGGCGGAACCTCTGAGTTAAATCCCCAGCCCCATTTTTTTGGTACCAGGGATCGAACTCAGGTCCTTGTGCTTGCGCAGCAGGCGGTGGAACCACTGAGCTAAATCCCTGGCCAATTATGTTTTATTTTAAGAGAAAGACTTTGCTAAGTTGCCTGGGCTGGAACGTGTGATCCTCCTAGCCCAGCCTTCCACACTGCTGGGATTATAGGTGTGCACTATCACTCCTGGCATGGCATTTGTTTTATTTTTTTGCTGTGTGGCCCAGGCTAGCTTTGGTACACTTTTTTTTTTGGTACCAGGGATCAAACTCTGGACATTATGCTTGCGAGGCAGGCGGCAGCACCACTGAGCTAAATCCCTGGCTCTCCAGGCTGATTTTGAATTGTGCAATCCTACTTCTTCCTCCTGAGTAGCAGGGACTACAGACCAGGAATACTGTACCTGGCTGGTTTAGAGGTATTTTGTTTTGTGGTACTTGGGGTGAACCCTATGCAAGTCCTCTACCACTGAGCTACAACCCCAGCCCTAGGGTATTTTTAAATTTGAAATATCTTAGCTCTCCCAAATACTGGGCCTAAGAAATGTGACATCTCAGAAATGGACATGTTCCTCCCTGCCACTGTTTTGTTCTGACCTTACCCTGTCCCCATTCTGATATCACTTCACGTCTTGCTGTTTTGTACTTTGGTGTCCTTGGTGTCTCAATGGATACATGGCCCCCACTTGGGATCTATGAAGCAGGGTGCAGCATCCTGACAAGCAGGGTCTTCTGTGCAGAGATCCCTTCATGGGAATCCCAGGTTGGGTTTCAGACGGCCTAAGTCCTGTAGCTAGGAGGGAGATTCAGAGCTGGGGTCCACAGTTGGTTCCACAGTTCTGGGAGTCAGAGAAATCTAGATGTGGATGCCTGTGGCCCTGCCTGCTTTGAGTCTCTGGTGAAGAATCTGAGCCTTCATCAGTAAAGGAGGTGGTAACATATTCCATCCACCAGTGCTGAAGGGAAGGGTCAGAGATGACACCAGTCAGGCTTGGGAGGACAGGACCTGGGAGTTGTATGTACTTGGTAATAAGAACCTTATTATCTTCCCACAGGGATGAGATTGCTGGATGCATTGAGAAAGCCTATGAGAAAATCCTTTTTACTGAGGCCACCAGGATTCTCTTCTTCAACACACCCAAAAAGATGACAGACTACGCCAAGAAGGTGGCTGGAGTGCAGGGCAAGGGGCCATGGAGCCACAGGATGCACTAATGACAGTGTTGGAGAGCAGTGGGTAGTCTAGAGGAACACTAGAAGGAATGAGAATCCTAGGATTTAATCCAGCTGTGTGACCTTAAACAAATTGCCTCTGAGCTCCATAGAATGGAGCTAGAGCTGACATGTGGGCTGAATTGAGCATAGCACCTGGCATCTGGTAGAAGCGGGCACTCTTCATGTTGGCTTTTGCCCTTATTAGTTTACAATTCCTTCCTCCCTCCCTCCCTTCCTTCCTACATGTTGGCTTTTGCCCTTATTAGTTTACAATTCCTTGCTCCCTGCCTGCCTGTCTCCTTCCTTCCTTTCTTTTTCTTTCTTTTTTTCCCTTCCTTCCTTTTTCTTTCTTGTACCAGGGATTGAACTCAGGACCTTGTCACTTGGCAAGGAAGGCACAGCACCACTAAGCTAAATCTACAGCCCTAGCTTAGAATTTCTTAGAGGCAGCAGACTTTCCCATAAGACTTTACTTCATTTTGCATTTGAGCAGAAGCAGTGCCTCTGGGGATGCTAACTCATGTGCTGACCCTGATAAGCGCCTTTCCAGGAGGCAGGAGGCAGGAGGCAGGAGGCAGAAGGAGGGTCAAGGATAGACCATGGAAGTGGGTGAAACTGAGTCTGAGTGATGGCAACATTAGTTTTGGTGCTGTGGAGGTTTTGATTCACTGAATCCTCAGAGCCAATGTAGAGAAGACTGTAATTAGAGTCCTTATTACCAACATGGAGAAACTGAAGTAGAGAAGTTCTTGCCTAGAGTTGTGTGGATAGAGGGGGTTGGTGAGAAAAGGATGCCATGGGGTGTGTGTGTGTGTGAGTGGTAGCTCCATGGGAGGGGGAGGAAGCCTTTGGAATCACCCCATTCATTTCTGATCCCTTCCTTTCTGCAGCGAGGGTGGGTCTTGGGGCCCAACAACTACTACAGTTTTGCCAGCCAGCAGCAGAAGCCAGAAGACACCACCATCCCCTCCACGGAACTGGCCAAGCAGGTCATCGAGTATGCCCGGCAGCTGGAAATGATTGTCTGAGCCCACTGGGCCTGGGGGTGGGCAGGGTGTGGTTATTTAAAAACAGTCATGGTGCAGGCTGTCCTCCAATAAAGGTGGATTGATATTTGCTCTTCTAGGCCCTTGTCTCCCCAGTCAGGATGGTGGGCCTCTTGGGGGTTGGAGACCAGTCAGCCTCTGTCCAGTGGCCACTGCTTCAGGTCTCAAACACATGCCCAGTGGCCCTGTGACTTACGGGACAGCACCAGTCTCAGGTAGAGGGTCTATTTCAGCCAGCTATGAGCACATTGGAATGCTGGACCAGGGTACCAGTTCTTTTCAGCAAAGGGGTTGTGTCCCAATTTTTTAACATGTTGAAAATGGATTAAATAATTTTTCAAATGACATGTGAAATGGAATCTGTCTGTGGGCTACCAGGACGATCCCTCTGAACAAAAGGCATGAACCAGGGCGTGGGCATCCCTCCCACCACCCACGAAACCTCTGGCTTCCCCTACCCTATTCCTTCAGCCCACAGCAGGTGACTGGCAGCCGTCTGCATTGGATACTTTATTGGCATGGAGGGGAAGTCAGGGTGTTGAGTGGATTGCACTCAGTCGGAATGGGTGGCCTGCAAGTCATAGTGCTCCAGCCCAGCTACCAGGGAGCCAGCCAGCTTGATGGTGGTGACCCAGGGTGGCTCACTCAGGTGGTTGGTGGTTGTGTCCAGCCTGGGAGGAAGGAAGAACCAACAGGTTGTCTGTGACCAGAGTTTCACTTTCCCCATCTGAATAAGGAAACTCCTGGTGGCTGTATGGATGTCCAAAGGCAGCTTTGGGCAGAGCTGCATCTACCTAGAGTGGGAAAGGGCTGATGGTGATGGTGCCCCAGCTAAGCCCCTAAGAGGTCCAGGGTAGTGTCAGATCTGGAGCCAGGCTATTTTCAGAGTAGGGGTCAGATCTGGAGATTCAGTATGGGGGTAGAGAGGAGGCAGAGGATGCAGTGTACCCTCTGGATCTGGGGACTTGAATAGATTTTGCAGCACAGTGGCAGGGGCATCAGTGCCCTTTGGTGGTTAAAACTTTGGATCCTAGAATGAGGACAAGTTGCCAGAGGCCTGAGGGGCCGAGGCCAGGGTTTCTGTCTGTGTCCAGGACAGCAGGAGGCCTACATTAACCCCCTTTTGGTTTCTTGAAGACATCTTCCCATCCCTAAAGAGTATGGGACATTATCCCTCTGTGCCTGCAGGTACAGGGTCAAGGCAGTGAATAGGGTCAGGCCTGATGGGACCTGCTTCTCCCTCATGGTTCCAGAGTATCAAGAGGGCTAGTGTGGGCTTTGGGATCAGAATACCAAGGGGCTAGGCCAAGGTATTGTCTCTCCCCACTCAGTATGGGATCCAGGCTCCCTGGTGGTGCTGAAGGATTGGAGCTCAGCTAGGTTTGAAAGAGGGTCAAGGATCAGCCTAGGCTCAGGACTGGGCAATGGTTAGGGACTGCAGGGCTATGCCCTTCCTCCCACTTCCTGACCTCCCCTCACCAGGCAGACACGTTGCTTGGCAGGCGGCGATGGTGCGGCTGGTGGCGACAGTAACACTTGCAGGAACAAGAGTTAAGCACCTGGAAGGGTGGCCAGTGGCGCACAGCACTGGTATTAGCTGCCCTGGCCGGAGCGGCCCCGCTGCCACCAACCCTGCTATCAGTCACGGTCTTTTGGCGAGGACCAACTCCAGGCAAGCGGTCTTCACGAGTCGCTCCTCTGGCTGAGCGGGAGCCCTTGTTCTTACGTGTGCGTGTCTTGGTGGGCGCGGGAGCTGGGGGCAATGGCTCAGTGGTGGCGGGAGCTGGGGATGGGGATGGGGATGGGGCCGCTGCCAGGGCGGGGGCTGGGTCCTGATCCGCAGCCAAGGTGGGGGGTAAAGGGGCCGTTGGGTCAGGAACCACGACTGATTCCCCAGGGCCAGGACCGGGGCGTGGAGTGGGCGGGCGGACCGCTGCCATCGGCATCTGCTGGGGCGCCGGCAGCCGCGGTATGGGTGGAGACACCAGGGCCCGTGTGGCTGGTGGCCTGGGCGATGGAGGGGGCGGAGGCAGCGGCGGCGGCGGTGGCCGTGGTGACTGCGGCTGACCAGGAGGCATGGGGCGCACGGGCTCGCCACTGGGGGGCGCCGGGAAGATGAACATAGGCGGCGCCAGCAGGGCAGGTGCGGGCCTCCGGGGCCCGGGAATTGGGTGCTTCTTCCCTCGCGGGGGTGGAGGGGAGCCCCAGGGCCCCGAGAGCGCTGCTGGGCGCCGTCTGGGCGCCCCGATGCCTCCTCCAGCCCCGTTGAACCGGAAGTGGCGTTCAGGGCCCTCAGGGGGGCTCACCCAGTCGAATTTGGGCTTCGAGCCTGGGAAGGTGGTGTAGGCGGGTGGCGGTAGGGCCCGGGTGTGGGACTCGGGCGCCAAGGGGCCACCAGAACACCCTTCACCCTCTCCTTCACCACCTTCGGTTTCCAGTGCCCCACGAGGGACCTCTCCGGGAGGGCGAGGGGCTCCAGGCGCCAAGGGTCCCTGCTTCAGGACCTGAGTGCAGGAGATGGCGCTCGAGGTGGCTAAGAGTCCCCTGCCTCTGCCGCCCCTGAGGGAGGCTTTGGCTGTTAAGGGACCGGAGGCTGCCGCAGGAGACAAAGGGGCCCTCGACTTGAAGGTGACTTTACACAGCAGGCTCAACCCGGACTCGGAAGCCGAAAACCGGGCCATTTCGCCTTCGCCGGCCTGGGGAGGCGACCCTTTGCGGACCCCGCGGGCCGTCTTGCCCTCGGCGCTGAGTTTGGCCTGGCTATCGGTGGGGCTGGTGGCAGAGGTGGCCAGGGCTGGAGTGATACCGCGGCTCCGGGGCTGCCGGTCGGAAGGTGGCGGCGGTGGCGGTTTCCGAGGCTCCAGAGGAGTCGGAGGCGGGACTGGGGCCCCCGGGGCGGGGTCCTTTTCGATTAGTTGTCTGGGCAGCAGCGGCAGTAGCGGGCGGACGCTCAGAGGGTCACCCTGGCCGCTGTGGCTCGCCTCCAGCAGGCCTCGGATCCGGGCCACCCTTGTGCTCGTGGGCTTTCGCCACTTAGACGGCGTGGGCAGCAAGGACCCCACAGCGGGTGGGGGCGCTGTAGAGACGGCAGCTGCCTCCTCTGGAGGAGGCGTCACTGGCGAGGGCAGTTCTAAGGTCAGGGGCAGGGGCGAGGGTGAGGCCTGGGGCTCCGGGGTTACCAGGAGTCCCGGGGGCGCGGAGCTGCCAGGGAACCAGACACCCAGCCCTCGAGCCGGGCGCGTGGCAGGGGAGGAGGAAGTCACCTCGGGCTGCACCAGGGACGTCCGGCGGGAGTCGGAGGTGTGGTTCAAGGCCTCTTTTTGGGAGCCTGCACCCACGGACCGCTCCGACTGGACGTTCCCCATTTCCTACGGAGATCGAGATCGAACACTGCGATCAGAAAAACTGCCAGTCAGTGAGCCAGGGCTGTGGGGACCCCATGGTGCAGGCTGTTCTTGGACTTCTCCGTCTGCGTTGGCCCTGCCCCTGTCCTCCAATATCCATTGAGCCCCAGTCGCTAGTCGCCTCTTCCTGAGTCTCCCTTGCCTACTTTCTCATGGCTCCTCCTAGCCGCTGTTTAGATACTTAAGCCCCAACCCCTTCGTGTATTAATGTTCCATTTTGTTCCCTTGATTTAGAATCGTATCTCTACTGTTTGGCCATGCCCGGATCTCCAGGCATCAAGACTCAGATCTTGTGGGGCATGGTGGCTCACATCTGTAACTCCAGCACTCTGGGAGGCTGAGGCAGAAGGATTGCAAATTCGAGCCCAGACTGGGCAACTTATCGACCTACTAAAAAAATTTTTGTAAGGCCGAGGATTTAGCTCAGTGGTTCCAGCGCCTGCCTCGCAAGTGCAAGGTCCCGAGTTCGAATCCTCGGTACCCCCCCTCCCAATTTTTTATAAAGCTGGAGATGTAGCTCAGTGCAAAGGCCCCGGACTCAAGTGCCAGTACCTCATGGACCAGTAGTCCATTCTGTTTTTCAGGCCACACAGTTAATGATGGTAGTGCCCAGGAGCTCAAGCTTTTCTCCCTGCACTCTAACCCGGCTCAGGAGGACTGGGCCCTTTTCAGGGAGTGGACCCCTCATCCTCGCCCTCCTCCAGTGTGGCCTTGCCTTTGCCTAACAAATATTGTGCCAAGTATTCTGATCGTGTTAATCCCTCAGTGCTCAGCTCTGGCCCTCCCAATCACCCACCCTCTATCATTTGGAACCCCCCCCCCCCGCCAGGGGCAGATTCTCAAGCCTCACTCTGAACTTCTTTTTCCACTCAGGTCTCTACACTCAGGCTCCACCCCTCTCCCCAAACTCTGCCTTGGCTCCTCCACCCAGAAGACTCCACTCACTGACTCCTTCAGCCCGACCAAGTTCACACCGCAGCCCCCTGGGCCCAGGGCAGGGCGGGGAACGGCCGTAGCAGAAAATAACGGAAAAGAACGGGGATGAGGTGAGGCTGTGGGCGAGATAGCCCCAGCGGACCCCGAGGCCTAGGCCCCGCCCCCTAGCTCGAGGCCTCGCCTCCTGAACCAGCTTGAGCCGAGCCCCTTACCAACCTGGCTCTCCCTTTGAAATACTTGAGTGTCTTTTTCCCAGCCCCAGGCCTTCAAGTCCTAAGCCCCACCCTTTTAGTATGTGTGGTGCTGAAGCGAGCACAGCCCCCTTTTAGAACGTTATCTTTAGCTCCTCCCCTTCAGAATGCCCCGCCCCTCCGTTAGTCCTCCCAAAGCCCCGCCCACGAAAATTCTGCTACATAGCCCCTCCCCTTTTGGGGGGACCTTTCATCTGCCCCGCCCACAAGGGAATGTATCCCTGAAACTCCGCCTTTTTAGGGCTGGCTGCCTCTTTCTGCAAGACTGACTGTCCTTCCTCTGCGAGCCCGGGCCTATCCACCGTGGACCCGCCCCTTCCATGACGCACCCTCTTGCCGGCTCCTCACTCAGACTCTTCAACCCCGCCCCCTGGAGAAGGCACCCTGCTCGCCCCACCCCTTTTCAAACCCTGCCAGGCACACGGCCCCTCCCATTTAGAGCCCAAATCCGAGACCACCCTCTTTAGGGGCCAGAGACCAGGCCCTAACTCAGTGCCCTCTTCTCCTTCGAACCAGGGACAAATGGGGCAGAGGAGTGGGAAACTGGGGGATCTCCTCTGGATCCTGAGGAAATGGGGCTGGGGGGTTATTCCTTGAAGCTGATGCCGGGCTCTAGGACCCAGCGGGCAAGCGTGCCCGCCTCGCTCTCACCCCTCCCCCAACCGCCCCCTCCCCCCCACCCGTCCTCCAGGTTCCCCCTCCCTCCCCCCAGCCCCGGCTCCCGGTGCCCGTCTCCAGCGCCGCCGAAGCCAGCGAGGGAGCCGGAGGGAGCAGGAGGAGGAGGAGGCCGCGTCGCCGCCGCTCGGAGCCCGGCCGGAGCCTCCCAGGCAGGTGCCGACGGCGGCGAGGGGGCGGGGGCTGCCGGACTGCCGGACCCGGAGAGGGGGCGGCCGGGACCGCGCCGCGCCTTCTGTGCACCCGGGCCCCCACGGATCCCGACCGGGAGGACCAGGGGTGGTGGCCCCCAAACTGCGCGGCAGCCATTTGGGCTACCAGTCTCCATTTAGGGGTCCCGGACTTCCTCCGAGGACGCCCCATTCACAAAATTTCGTCTTGGACCCTCAACATTGAGGAACTTCAAGGACCACTCCCCCTGGGAACACAGATGTGTGGGGAGCGTAGGGCACTCTAAAATCCCGGTGCCCTATGCTAGCTAGGCCCTGGGGGGACCCCTACCCTCTTTGCCTGCTTCACCTGTTGTCGGGGGAGGCGGGCGGACAAAGGAAGCAGCATCACGTGACTGCTCATTCACAAAATCCCATCCCATTGAGAAAAGGGGGCCGGGGGCTCTGCGGCCGCCCCTTCCCCTCCCGTAGGGCTGGGGAAACCCGGCATCCTGCAGGTGGGGGAGGGGGCTAGAACTCGTTGCTTGGGTCCCTAAGATTGGGACGCCAGGGTCCCTGCTCTGGGTAGCAGTGGAGGGCTGAACGCTAATCCCGATTACTGGGCGGAGGGCTACGTTCCCCGAGCTAGGGGGCGGGGTAAAGTGTTTCTGAAGGGTACTGGAGAGGGGGAATCAATCCCCTCATTTCTCCCCCGTGGCTTCCTTCGGCTGGGACCTGAAGGAGCAGCCTTGATTTTTGTGAATGAAATGCTCCCAGGATCTCTTCGGTCGCCCGTTTCTGGCTTTCCTTGCCTCCATCTCTCTCTCGGCCTCTCTTTCTGGCCATTTCTGATTCTCTCCCTGCCCATCTCCCCGTTGCTGGGTGACTCAGTGAGCTTTGCATCCGGTCTCATTCATAAATCCGGGAAGGGGTGGGGGGAAGAAGAGAGCCAGGGTTTCTCACCCAGCCAGTGGCCTGGGTGACAGGGTGCGGAGGCAGTGTTGGCGGAATGGGAGTTGAGTTGATGGGCCCCAAGAAAATACATATGCGCAGGAACCCAGCTGCGAGGGGGGACGAAGGGTGGGGTTGTGGGTATGTGCAGAGAGGCCAGGAGACAGGGTTGAGGGGATGAGCCGAGGGGGAGGGGAAGTGGAAGTGGAAAACCCAGGCTGTGGGGATGGGGTGGGAAAGATGGGGGAAACGTGGCCATGGAGAGAAGAGGTAGATTTGGGGAAGAAGACACGTGAGAGACAAGAGATGTCACAGGAAGGAAGAAGCCATGCTAGGTGAAAGTGGGCATGAGAGGTATTGGTGGCCAAGGGTGCAGTGGGTCCAGATGTGAGAGACAAAGATAGAAGGAAGACCAGGCTTAGGGGAACACTGAAAGGGAGGGCAGGATTTGGGGGTCACTGACTGTTGTCCCTGTCTTCCCCATCTCCTGCAGGTACATGGTGCGGGTCCGAGCTGTGGTGATGGCCCGAGATGACTCCAGTGGGGGCTGGCTGCCTGTGGGGGGCGGGGGCCTCAGCCAGGTGAGCGTGTGTCGGGTCCGAGGGGCCAGGCCCGAGGGGGGGGCCCGCCAGGGGCACTACGTCATCCACGGGGAGCGCCTCCGGGACCAGAAAGTGAGCCACCTTGGGGCGTGGGGTCGGGTGGGGCCCTGGGGTGGCAGGGGAATGGGGCTGGGAGTGCAGAGGAGAGGCAGGGTGTCTCCCAGCCTGGGGCTGTGCTAGAGTGTGGGAGTAAATATCTGTCCTGGGGAGAACTGGGAATTTCGGGAGTATGTGGCATATCAGGCAGATTCTGTCCACTGCATCTCCTGCTAGTCCCTCCTTACTGGTCTCCCTGCCCTCTTCCGGCTTTCCCGCCCAACCCCAGTCTGTTCCACAGGGCCCCTGCTCACACCCGACTCAAATCATGTCCCTCTTCCTCTCAGAACCCTCCCGTGGCTCCATCTTGCTCAGAGATCCTCACCATGAGGCCCTACACCAACTGACCCCTGTCTGCCCTAAGTATCTGGAGGAATTTGCTGGGGGGCAGCTTGGAAATGTCAAATTCATTGCTTGGGTCCCTAAGATTGGGTTCAACAATTTGAGTTCAGCAGGAATAACTGGGCTGTCTGGCAGGATTTGGAGAGACAATGTGGAAGTTTCATCTGGGGATGTAGTAGGAAGATTTGTATTATTTTGAAAAGGCTGAAGGAGAATGACACACCTTTCTTTAATCCCAGCCCTTGAAAGACTGAGGCAGGAGGATTTTGAGTTCCAGCCCAGCCTGGGCTACACAAGATCAAAAAGGGTGGGGGGAGATAAAGAAAAGCAAAAGGGCTTAGGGAAAGGATAACATTTCACACCAGGGGAATGATGTGGGGGACGTGGAAAGGTGAAAGGGCATGTAGGAATGATGTTAGGCAAGGATACGAGGGAACATCTAGCATGTTGAGCAACATTGAGGGTAATCTGTGGAAGTATAATAAAAATACTTTTGGGGTAAGGTTACAGAAAATTATTGAGACTTCACTAGGGGATTAAGTATAATATTTTGACATGTTCATTAAAATCTGAGGAGTACTACTGAGTCATAAGCGGGAATGGTTGTTTATCAGAAAGGGACTAACAATATTTTTTAGGCATTCAGTAAATTTGAGAGTTCTTCCTGGGACATCAAAGGAAGATGTTAGAAAAATGTAGGGATCAAAGGATTGGAGGAAATATTGGGTATTAAGTTGCATTCCATAGGGCCAGGGATTTAGCTCAGTGGTTTTGTCGCCTGTTGCGCAAGCGTGAGGACCTGAGTTCAATCCCTGGTACCAAAAAAAAAAAAAAAGTTGCGTTTCATAAAATTGGGAAGTTGTACTGAGATATCAGGGTTGGGGGTACAGTTGGAAATGAGGTTGGTGGGATCCTGGAGTATGTAGAAAGCCTGAGGGGGAGTCACAGGTATGGCTGGGGAAAGGGGTGTCTGATCCAGACCTTCCTGCCCCTCAGACCACCTTGGAATGCACCCTGAGACCAGGCTTGGTTTACAACAAAGTGAACCCCATCTTCCACCACTGGAGCTTGGGTGACTGCAAGTTTGGGCTGACGTTTCAGAGCCCTGCTGAGGCTGATGAGTTCCAGAAGAGCCTGCTGGCTGCGCTGGCTGCCCTGGGCCGAGGTAAGTGGGTCAAGTGTCGGGCACTTGGGCTGGGGGTCTGGGGTAGGAGAAGCTGGGACTGGGACTCACTCTTCTGCCTCTTTCCTGGCCCAGGCTCGCTCACCCCCTCCTCTTCCTCCTCCTCCTCCCCTTCCCAGGACACCGCAGAGACCCCCTGCCCTCTGACGGTGAGTCTGGGGTACCTCCCTGCTGGGAGGGTAGGGAGTGGCTCTTGGTCTACAGAACATTCCTGAGCACCTACTGTGGCGGGCACCAGGGCACATGCTGGGGACACAGATTAGCCCTACACTATTAATGTCAATTCAGTCTCAGTTAATCTAGTTTTTCTCTTGTATGGCGATTCACACATTCATTCACCAGTACTTAGTAAGCACCTCCTGTGTACCAGCAATGTTTTAGGCACTGGGGATACATCAGTGGCTAAAATAAAGTTCCTTTCTTCTTGGAACTTTTATTCTAGTGTGAAAGGGCAGGAAAAAGAAGGATAAGACTCTAAAAATGAATGAATATTAAAAGTAAAGGGGACTAGGGATGCAGCTCAGGGATTGAGCTCTTGCCTAGCATGTGAGAGGCCCTGGATTCTATCCCCAGTTCCACAAAAGAAAAAAAAAGAAAGTAAATCAATGATGAAATGAGTGACAATTGCATGTACCAGTTACTCAGGCTATAAACCTCAGAATCATCCTTGACTCCTCTTATTTTTTATGCTTCTCATCTAATCTGTTAGTAAATATTGGTTTTACTTTCACAATGGTCAGACTCCACCTCACACCTGGTACTGTCCAATCTCATTTAACTGGACCATCTGAACAGCTTCTCATTGTCACCCCCCACCTTATCCCCAACTATCTGGTCCCCACTCAGCCTGGGGGGTCCCATTGATTGCTGAGTCAGATTACAGCCCTCCCTTCCCAGAACACTCCCAGGGCTCCAGCCCACTCAAGGGAAAGGACTGAGTCCTTACAGTGGCACCTAAGCTCCCATACCATCCGGTCCTGGGTTCCTGTCCCCTCACTCACTGGGCTGCAGCCACACTGACCTCCTTACCTCACTCCTACAGGGTGAGCACATTCCTATCTCAGAGCCTTTGCATTAGCTGTTTCTTTTGTCTGGAATACTCTTTCCTATGTCTCAATGCCCCTTATCAGGCTTTCTTTTTCTTTCTTTCCTTCCTTCCTTTTTTTTGGGGGGGGGCGGGTACCAGGGATTGAACTCAGGACCTTGCACTTGTGAAGCAGGCGCCAGAACCACTGAGCTAAATCCCTGGCCCTTCCTTCCTTATTTTGAGACAGGGGCTTGCTACGTAGTTCAGCCTGGTCTTGAACTCATTATGTAACCCAGGCTGGCCTTGAACTCTTGACAATCCTTCTACCAAAGTCTCCTGAGTACTGGGATTACGGGCGTCCACCATGAAAAGACTGTTTTCTTATCTATTGGTTTACTGCCCATCTCTATTGGTAGAATGTCAGCTCCAGAAGGACAAGGATCTTATGTTGATGTTTTGTTGCATACCCAATGTTTAAAACAGTGCCTTGTATACAGTAAGTGCTCAGTAAATGTGTTGGATAAATTGAGCTAATGAATGAACGAATGCACAGAATGTTGGGTACATTTTGACACTTGTTGGCCACAGTGGGAGTTGCTGAGACTACCTGGAGGAATAGAACTGGTTCCCTGGGTGAAAACGGGGGCAGAATCTCAGAATAATGGGAAGTAGAGATGGAGCCACAGACAGTTCCTGTCTTTGGCATCCTGATTCAAAAGATGCTGTGCTCTGGCTCAGACCTGCACAGTGACCTTGTGTCCTGCATGCCGCGGTGCTCAACAGATGTGTACTGAAGGCAATGAACAGATGCAGTAAGGATCATGGTCAAGTTACAGAAAGGAAAACTAAGGATCTAGGAAGTGCCTTCAGCTAGAGCCTGGTTCAGATGGGAAGGAGAGCATGGTGGGGGCGGGGGTCCACAAAAGATGTGGTGGTGGGAACAAGGCAGGAAGGTGGCTGAGTGGCCAAGGGAGAGAGGGGTTCTGAGAAGCGAGAAGATGCTTTGATGTTCTGTAGGTTGGTGAGCTGAGCAGTTAAGAAGAGGACTCTAATATTAATAATCATCATTTCCAGCTCTTCCTGTACTTCGGGCACGCGCTGTGCCCTTTACAATGGGTCCTAACCACATCCTTACCAATAGGTACTATTATGATCCCCATTTTACAGAGGAGGAAACTGAGGCTCAGAGGTGAGCTCTGAGGTGAGAAGGACTTGAACCCAGGCCTGCGCGGCCCCAGAGCCCTTGCTTTCTATGGGAGGGGCCTTTGTGGGGGCACGGGCTGTGTGGGGGAGATTCTCCACGCTGAGGCCACCTATCTCCCCCAGTCCCACGTGGACAGCGACTCATCCTCCAGTCACAGCCACCAGGAGACGCCTCCCACCGCGCCAGCAGCCCCCATCGTCACTGTGGAGTCCGCCTCTGCCTTTGGGCCGACCACGCCCCCCCAGGGCCGCTCCTCGGCTCAGGTGCGACCCCCAGCGGAAATTTGGGTGGAATGGGGACTGGTGCTGGGGTCCCTAAGGGAGCTGAGGCCCACGAGGGTGAGAAGGGACACACAGATGCCAGGAAATGGCTGATGTGCCTGCTGAGTGGGGTGGGATAGAGGCCTGGGTTTCTCTGAGGGTTGGCGAGAGGCTTCGTATGTTTCCTGCACTCTTGAGGTTTGAGGGAGTTCTGAATTTCAGAAAGGCTTGGGAGATGCCTTGGACAATTTTCCGGGTATATTAGAGGATGCTGATACTCATGGAAAGGCTCCTAGAACTGCTTAGTTAAGGCATGGTAGTGCATGCCTGTAATCCTAGCACTCTGGAGGCTGACAGGAGGAGTGCTGTGAGTGCTAGGCAAGCCTGGACTACATAATGAGTTCAAAACCAGCAACAGACCAAAACACAAACAAAACAAAACAAAAGACTGCTTAGTTCACATAGGCAGGCTTGCTACTCAAGGGAGTGAAAGAGGCCCAGGGACTGGACTCCTTCATCCTAAGGAGGAGGTGGCTAGGGTCCAGAACTCCAGGATCTGAAGGGGCTGGGGGCTGAGACACCTAGATCTGGAGAGTGGCAGAACTGGGAGCCTTAAGCCACTAGGCTCTAGATCTTCAAGGTATGGGGTTGATGTCTGGATTCCTTTGTGTTCCTGAGAAGAGAGGGCCAAGGGACCTTGGGAGTGGAGCAGGCTGTGATCTTGGAAGTCTGAATCTTGAGCCTAGGAGGGTTTTAGGAGCAGGATCCTTGGAAGCCTGAGGCCTGTAGGTGGATCTTGGGATTTTATTTTTATTATTATTTTTTGGCGATACTGGGAATTGAACCCACGGCCTTCATGCTGAGTTATATCCCATCCCCTGCTCTTTCATTTTCATTTTCATTTATTTATTATTTATTTATTTATTTATTTATTTGGTACGGGGATCGAACTCAGGATTTTGCCCTTACCAGGCAGACACAGCACCACTGAGCTAAGTCCCCGGCCCCATTTTTATTTTAATTTTGAGACTGGGTCTCACTAAATCACTGAGTTGCCCAGACTGTGCTTGAATTCGTGATCCTGCTTCAGCCTCCCAGAATGCTGGCAGGTCACCACACCTGGCTTCTAGGTTCTTCTGGGACTGGGATAATTGTGGTGGTGGTGGGGGGTGCGAGTCATGGGCTTCATTATCCCACTCTCCTTGTCCCTTCATCCTGCAGAGCTACCCTCCGCTTCTACCATTCACGGGGATTCCGGAGCCTTCAGATCCTGTGGCAGGGGCAGGAGGCCCGGGCTGGGGTGGCCGCGGCTATGAGGATTACCGGCGCTCCGGACCACCTGCGCCCCTTGCCCTATCCACCTGTGTTGTGCGCTTCGCCAAGACTGGCACGTTGAGGGGCGCAGCCCTGGGTCCCCCAGTGTCATTACCTGCCCCTCTTACCGAGGCTGTGCCCCCAGCTCCCCCGGCTCGCCCACCCCCTGGCCCAGGCCCCACCCCTGCGCCAGCCAAGGGCTCCCCCGAGGCTGAGGAGGCTGCGCGCTGTGTGCACTGCCGAGCGCTCTTCCGCCGCCGAGCGGACGGGCGTGGTGGCCGCTGCGCTGAGGCCCCGGATCCAGGTCGCCTATTGGTGCGACGTCTCAGCTGCCTGTGGTGCGCCGAGAGCTTGCTCTACCACTGCCTGTCAGACGCCGAGGGCGACTTCTCGGACCCCTGCGCTTGCGAGCCGGGCCACCCGCGACCCGCCGCGCGCTGGGCAGCGCTGGCTGCACTCTCGCTGGCCGTGCCCTGCCTGTGCTGCTACGCGCCTCTGCGCGCGTGCCACTGGGTCGCAGCACGTTGTGGCTGCGCAGGCTGTGGGGGTCGCCACGAGGAGGCTGCGCGGTGAGGACCGCCTGGAGGGTCTGGCAGCAGGACCAAGGACCCAGCATTGAGGGTCCAGGATCCCGGACTGATTCGGTTTGAACCTAAAACTCAAACCTAGGCACATCTGGAACTTGGAGCTTGAGTTTGGACCGAGAGATCCCAGACCTGGAACCTGGGCCCCAAATCTAGGACTGAGTGACCCCAGACTGAGCATCATTAGGATGTCTATCAAAGGTCCTGAGTTCTGGATTCTCCATCCATCTTCCCACTGAAGAGATTCCTGACATCTTTAGACTGCATCTCAGAGGGCCCCAGGAATACACAGATCCCAGAGAGGAACTGGGACCTCAAACTCTTGACTCTCTGTCCAAATGACCAACCCAGATCCCTGCCACACCTGACACCATGAACTCTCAGATTGCAGCCCCAGAATTAGTCAGGAATTGCCAATACCTGATCTTGCCTGTATCCAATTACTCCCGGATCTTGCAATCAGAGGACCTGGAACCACCCCCAAATGGTCCCTGAATGTTCACCTGAGACCTGGTGCACCCACATCTGACACATTCTGTAGCCCCAGGATCCCTGAGACACCAATCCGTCCTGGGCTTGAGACTGATATGGTCTGGAATCACCAGACACTGGCCCAGATCCACCCACTCCTGAGTGTCCACAGACCTGACCTGCAATCCAGGACACCAAGATGTAAGATATCCAAGTGACTTCAGTTGCTGTAGGACAGCAGTCTTAAGGTGTACTGAGTCCTTGGATGTGCTCAAACATGAGATGTTCTCTGACCAAAATGATTGGAGAAGCCCATTCCAAGGCTCCAAATACCAGACCCCAAGATCCTCTGAGAGCCAGTTATTGAAGGCCTACATATACTCTAGTCACTACAAACCAGTGTTCTTGGGAGCGTTGGTTGTCATATATGGATTTGGAGGTGCCTGTTACCCAAGCTATATGAATGACAGCCACTGGCACCTCAGGCCCAAGACATTGATCTCAAGTCCTCAAATAGCCCCTTTCAGTCCCCTTGGAACTGGATTTTGAGAGCCAAAATGTCCTAGAATCAATCTCTGGCTTCCTTCCAGCCCCATATTCCCAGTCCCCTAAAATGGGATGGTCATGGCAACCCAGACCTCTGATCCCTTGGCCCTCAGCTCCTGAGTAACCCCAAGGTGCTTTAAGAGCACTGGATCCAAGACTCCAAGGTGCCACCCACCCCCAGCTACAGGACTCAATCCCCCACAACATTGGGATTGTTCCTGATCTAAGATCTTGGTCCTCCATACCAGACATTCAGATCTGAGATGCCCCAGGACCCTAGTACTCTCAGACTCCAGATTTCTATTGCCTCAACCTTCTCTAGTTTGATGAAACCCCAAGATGCCTCTACACGTGATTTCCCAGCCCCCACTCATGAATCTTCTGAGAACTGTTGTCCCTTGAATCCTGCCATCCACGGGCTCCTGAAGCCCCAAATTTCCAAACTCTGGAATTCTGGTCCCCAGAACCACAGCTCAAGCCTCCAGAAATCCTCAGAATTATCCCTTAGCCTAGGGGGAAAGCCCTACCATTTTGAGCCCAGATTCCTGTATTCCAGAACCTCCTGGCACTCCCCACTTCCACCTGGAGGGCGCAGCATTGCCGCAGATGATTGTGTAGGCCATTGGCTAAGCAAAAGCGCACAGCTGTGATGGTGTATGGAACATAGCAAAGGCTGCTGGCCTAGCTGGGCCTCCAGAGGAAGGCCGGTCTTTTTTTATTTGCACATAGACACTTGGACTAACTATGGCTCTGTGGGGACCCCTGTCATCCTGGCCTTGTAGATCCTCCTCCAAGTCCAATCCTGAGCCCTAACCGTGGTCCAAGTCTATCCTTCCATTAACCTCTTCCATCTCAGAGTCAGGGGTTGCTTTTGAAAGCTTGTTTTATGGCCCTATGAGGCTCCACTTGGGGAGAGTGGGATGTCCAGGGTACTTAAGATCTGGTGTCCAGCATGGAGGGACCAAGTTCTCACAGGAAGACAGTCTCACTTATTTTATGGGCTTGGGACCTGCATCTGGCCTCAAGCATCTGGAAATGTGCATTTTACCTTTCTTCATTACCCAGATTTGGATGGCCTTGTGGAGTTCAAGCGATAGATCCTTCTATCGATTCTTTTAAAATTATTAACTATTTATTCATCCGGAACCTGTGAGACTCAGCTCTCCCAACCAGACCCTGGGATGGGTGAGAGAAGGGGGGATGTCCCTCCCATTCCCACTCTGCCCAGCTCTCATCACTGTCAGACCCACCAGAGCTGAGGGCGGAGGGACTGGGGGCTGGGGCAGCCTGAGTCCCCACCCCCTCTCTGTGCCTCGGTCTCCCCCCTTCCGTGGTGGGCGGGGGGGAAGCTCCATTCTTAACCTACCTCGTTTTAGGGAGGGGTGGGACAGGGGATCAGAGTGCTGTACGGTGCTGTGGGATCTTTGGATAAAGTGGTGGGGACTGGGGAAGGTTCCCCAGCCCCCACCCCCAGCACCGCCTCTCCCAGGTCTCTCAGTCCTGCTTCTTGCTGATACCCACCTCTGATCCATGATTACCCTTCATGGCCCCCAAATCAGGGGTGCATGGAGGGCTGCCCTGGGACCCAGGAAGACCTCAGACCCTGGAACCCCCAGGCCCAATTTCCTAGCTGCTTGCCCCTCGGATTGGATGCTTGGCCCCCAGACTTGGGGGAGGCGCCTCAACATTTATCTTCCTGATCTTGATTCCAAGCCAGTCTGTGACCTCAATATTAGTGTCAGTGCAGGCTGGGAGGATGGGGGCCAAAAACCCAGCCTTGTCATTGGGGGAGGGGGGCATGAGATCCGCTCCAAGAAATGTCTGTGACAAAGTCTCAGCCTGTGTTCTTTATTTTCGTTGCCGTGCCTTGTCCACTTGCAAGACTGACGCACCAACCACCTACCTCAATTCTCTCCTCCCCCCACATCCTTTAGTCTCAAGCCAACTGTCCTGCTGAGTTCAGTCATTCAGCAAGTAACATTCGCTGAGCACCTGTTCTGTGCCAAGGCTTGTAGTGAGCACTGGGGGTAAAGCAGTGAACAGGACAGACAAAAATCCTTCGCAAGGGAGTTTATAAACTTTATACTGGGGGAGACATTAAGTAGGTGAATTAATCTGTTAGAAATGACATTTACCATAATGGATGAATAAAGTGCGAGTGGGGGATACAGGCATTTTTTAGCCAGGGTGGCCAGCTTAGGCCTCATGCAGTAGGCATTTGAATAAAGCCATGAAGGAAGTAAAGGGTTCATACCTGTCTGCAGGGAAGAGCATTCCAAGCAGAGGGAGCAGCCAATGCAAGGTCCCGAGGTAGCATGCCTGGTAAGTCTGAGGAACATTGAGGGAGCCAGAACATCTGGAAGGGAGGGAGAAAGGAGATGAGGAGGGCAGAGAGGTGACAGGACGGGTCTGTGGGACCTTGCAGTCATTGTACAGACTTTGGTTTTTACCCTGAGTGAGGTGGGGCCACAGGAAGTCTCTGAGCATATGAGGGATCTGACGTGACTCACATGTTCAAGGGCCACCAAACAAACACTTGGAGGTGGGCTGGGTGACAATGAGAAGGTTGTTGTGACTGTCCAGGGGGAGACAATAGTGGATGAGACCAGGGTGAGGGCAGTGGAGTGGAGAGAAGAGAGTGGTACTGGATCTATAAGGATGATCAACAAATATGGTCGATATTTACATTTTAAAAATTGATTACTGCAAAGGACAAATTGACATTAATACTCTTCAAAAATTGACTATTCATTTTGAACATTTATCCCATTGCTTTTGTCACTTTCTGAAGCAGTTTTGCAAGTCCTCTTCCAAAAGTGTCTTTATGGGATATGATCAAAAATACGGTGAATGCTGTTGCCAAGTGCCATTCAACAAACTCATAAAATATTATCATGTGTTCTCAATCCAACTCATTCACTGGATCTGGCACCTGTGACTTCTGACTCTTCTCCAAAGTCAAAATGACATAAAAGGTAAACATTTTGAATCGATTCAAGATCTAGGCAGCTATGACAGTGCAACCAAAGACATTCAAGAAAAGGACTTCTAGAACTGCTTCAGAAAGTGGCAAGAACAATGGGGTGTTTTCAAAGCAAGGGGGAATATTTTGAAGGAAACCCGTGGCAATGTGTCTTTCACTGTAATAAATTTTTAAAATTTAAGCATACACCATATTTTTTCATGTGTGTGTGTGTGTATAAACAGGGTTTTGCTATGTATTTCAGGATGGCTTTGGACCATGTGCCCAGGATGGCCTTGAGCACACTGCCTCAACTTCCTTAGTGCTGGGATTACAGGCGTGCACCACAGGCCAGGCTCACACTTTGGATTTTTTTTTTTTTTTTTGGTACCAGGGATCGAACTTGGGTCCTTGTGCTTGCGCAGCAGGCAGCGAAACCACTGAGCTAAATCCCCGGCCCCACACTTTGGATTTTGAAGGTAGAGCTCACAGATTTGTACATGGGGTTTGATGTAAAGAAAAGAATCAAAGCTGGTGATGTAGCTCATAGCTCAGTAAGAGTATATGCTTAGCATGTGCCAGATGCTGGGGTCAAGTACAAAAAAAAAAAAAAAGGAAGAGGAGTATAAGTTTTTGGATTGAGCACTTGTGTGTGTGTGTGTGTGTGTGTGTGTGTGTGTGTGACTGAGTATTAAAGGTGGGGCCCTTGTGCTAAGCTATATCCTCAAGTCCTTATTTATTTTTTGAGGTAGGGTCTCTAAATCACAAGTTGCCCAGGTTGCATTTGAACTTTCAAACCTGCTGTCCAGTGCCAGGCTACTGACACTTAAAGGGTGTACCACCATGCTCAATTGAGCAACTTTTAACATTTGATTTAGGTCAATAAATGTCCACAGGAGTGTCCTGATTTGGGGTAGGCAGGGCTATGGAGGCACCAGATTAAGAGCAGGCTCTGTTCCTGATAAATAAATTCTGGCTATTGTTTCTTAGGCTCCTACTCCCAGTGGAATGAGGATAATCAGGGAGATATAAGAACTGGAACAATGATTTATAATAATATCAACACAGTCAGTGGCAGCAGTAACTAGGCTTAATGGTTAAAAAAGTATGGAATTTGGCCGTAATTGTGTCCTGGCACCACCATGAATTTACTATGACCATGATTTTCCATTAACTTTCTCTGTAAAATAGGGATAAGATTTAGCCCAATGGCAAACATTAAATGCTCAATATATGTTAGTTGTTTTTCTTGCATACACCCTATGTGTCTGTTGAAGCTTTTTTTTTTTTTTTTAAATTGGTACCAGAGATTGAACTCTGGACCTTGAGCTTTCACTGCAGGTGCAGCGCCGCTGAGCTAAATCCCTGGACCTTGTTAAGCATTTTTTTATATAGGAACTAATCAATCTTCACCAAGAAGTCTAAGAGTAGGTACTATTATTACCCCTTTTGTACAAACGGGAGGGAAGCAATTTGGCAGGTGCTGGTGAGTGGAGTCAAACCCTATCCCTGTCTGTCTGCTTCCTAGGATGCAATTTCCTCTTTGGGAGGGTGTATCGCACCTGCTCCCTTCCTTCAAGGCCTAGGGATGCAGAGGGGTGAAGGCTTAAAACACACATTGTAATCCAGGAGAAGACACCTCCGGTAGTGAGGTGAGTGGGGAGCCAGGATTCCTGGGTCTCTGAAATAATTCCAATTATAAAGCGGAAAAGGAAGAGGCAAATTTCTGCGTTTGGGACAAAGTTGGGTGAACAAAATTTGGTCTGGGGTGGTTTTTGTTTTTGTTTTTGTACTGGGGATCGAACTCAGGAACTTGTGCTTGTGAGGCAGGCACCAGAACCACTGAGCTAAATCCCCAGCCCTAGTCTGGGGTGTTTTAAAAGGAGAGGGTAACTGGGGCGGGGATTTAGTTCAGTGGTACCACGCCTGCCTCGGATGCGCAGTCCTGAGTTCGATCCTCGGTACCGCAAAAACAAACAAACAAACAAAACAACATCACAGTAAATCTTGGGCCGGGGATTTAGCTCAGTAGCGCCGAGCCTGCCTCGCAAGCGCAAGGTTCTGAGTTCGATTTCCGATCCAAAAAAAAAAACAAAACAAAAGCAGAGGGCGGCTGAGGAAAGAGACTAAAGTTGCTTTTATGTGGTCACAATAGCGACCCTCACTAGCCTGGTCGCCAAGTATCGGGATTCCTCCCATGCTCAGGAACTTGTAGTCCCTGACAGGTTACATGAAGTCATACGGCCGGACCTGAGGGAGAGCTCTGCCTCCTCTAGCGCCAAAGCTAGACTGGAGCGCCAAAGATCGTCCGCTGGGAGACTCTGATTTGTCGGGGGCGGTGATGGGGCGGAGCCTGCCACCGGCCGGAAGGGGGCGCACGCCGGGCCGGGCCCGAGAAGAAGCTTTCATGGAGGGGGCGGAGGCGGGAGCCGCGTTGTCCCGGGACCTGCTAGCTCTGGGGTAAGGGGATGGATGGCGTGCCTGCGGGTGTAGGAGGGGCGGATTTGCCTCAGGCGTGGACGGAGAAGGCTTCCCACTGACCCCTGCCCCGCCGCAGGTATGGGGCTTTCCCGGAGGCAGCGTCGCGGGGCGCCTCATGTCCAGACTTCAGGGCGCTGTGCGCGCGGCTGGCGGTGGAGCTGGCGACCCTGGGCGCCCTGGAGCGGCAGCAAGATGAGGGCGTCGAGGTGTTGAGCGTGGGCGACGGTGCGTGGGGAGCCTGAGGGCCGGAGGGGTGGAGTCGCGGGTCCCACGCCCTGACATCTCCCGCCTCCAGCAGGCCCCGGCGCAGAGGAGGAATTTCTGCGGCAGCTGCCCGGCCTGCTGCGGGCGTTGCACTGCCCGGATCGCGCGCTCTGCGGCGGAGGTTGCGAGGCCGAGCTTCGGGAGCCGAGCGCGGGCCTCCGCCTGCTGCGTAAGCCCCGGGAGTCCGGGATGCGGAAGTGGGCGAGGCCAAGGTCTCCAGAGCTGGCGGGCTTAGTGTGTTGGGGGAGGGCGGGGCCCTGGGGGCGGGGCCAGGGCCTTGAGGCTGGCCAGAGGGTCGGAGGGGTCAGAATCGGCAGGCACAGGGTTAGAATCTTGATGAGAGTCTGGGTGGAGCAGGACAGGTGGTTCCGAAGTAGGCGGGAGTCGAATTCCCAAGTGCAGGCAGGGACTCCAATGGGTGATGCTTATCTCGGAGGCGGAACCTGGGCTCTAGGTGGGCAGGACTAGAAAGTGTTGAGTTAACAGCCTTCCCAAAGATCTCTTTCCCTATTTTCAGGCTTTCTGTGCTCCGAGCTCCAGGCTGCCCGCCTCTTGCGTTTGCACCCCTCTCTGGACTCCAGCCCTGTGCCACCCCTTGGGAGAGGGACACAGGAAGGAGCTGACATGGTCCAGGAACTGGTCCTTACCCGCCAAGCCCTGGGACTGCCCAGACCCCTGCTGGGGACCCCTGCCAGCCAGCTACTTTGGGAATTACATGCCAAGGTAGTAAACCAGTTCCCTCCCTACCCTATTTTGCTTGGGGAGAGGAGCCTTTCTCCAGGAGTGGCTGTAGCAGGAGTGCCCAACCACCAGGGTGTATTTTCGAGCTGTGGCTACTGTTGTTTTTGTGGCCTGGGTCCTCGGGGCTGAGGGGAACCGGAGCCCATGGAGCTGTCTGTCCTGTTTCTGCCTCAGTTGACCTCTGACTTCTCCCATCAGATCTCTGAGCTGCTGCCTTCCCTGCCCCCAGGATCCATGCAGCCCCTCCTCAGCTACCCACTGGATACACCCCGATGGGTAAGATTGTATATGGGTGTGTGTGAACAATATTCTCATCCAGAGAAGGGGGTGAGAGGTGCCCTTGGCATGACTGAGACCTTTTCCACCAGAAAGCCTTGGAGTCTCTGTCCCAAAGCCTGAAAGATCAGTACTGCTGCCGCCGCTGCCTTCTTCTCAAGCGCCTGGACCTCACAATATCTGCTTTCCACTGGACTGATCGGGCAGAGGTTCGAGCAAAGGACCCTGCCAGGAGCAGAAAGGCTCAGTTGTGGGGGCGATAGCTGCAAGGAGGAAGAATGAGGGCCAGGAATATTACCTCTTTGAGGTTCTGAGGCACAGGCCTTTGTTTTTTTTTTTTTTGTACCGGGGATTAAACTCAGGACCTTGTGCTTTCAAGGCAGGCAACAGAACCACTGAGCTAAATCCCTGGCCCAGGCCCAGGCCGTTTTAGACTCTTGTAAGGTTTGTGGCTTCTATAATCTCAAGGCCTCTAAGATATTTTAGCTCTGAGCTGGGAGTGCCATTAGTACTCACCATACCCCTTCTGAGTGATGTAAAGCAGTAAGGCTATCTTAGTCTGTTTTGTGTTGCCATGACAAACTATCTGACACTGGATATTTTATAAGGAAAAGAAGTTTATCTTGGCTTATCAGTTTGGAGACTGAAAAGTCCAAGCTTGGGCACCTGGATCTGGTGAGGGTCTCATGCTGTATCACAACACACTGAATGACATCACAGTGAGCGTATGTGTAAGAGTAGTTAACGCGGAAGTGCGCAAATGTGGAGTGGTGCACTTTGTAACATCTAGCTCTCTTAGTAGCCAGTCCAGGCCAGTGAGACCTAGCCTACTCCTGCTACACTAGCATTAATCTCTGCCAAAGGTGATGCTTTCATTACCTAATTAGCTCCCCCCTTAAAGGTTCCACCAATTCTCAATGCCATTGCACTGGGGACCAAGCTTCTAGCACATGACCCTTTGGAGAACAAACCGGATTCAAAGCATACATGGCTCTGAGTGGGAAGATGATAGGTCCCACCTGGGGAGGGCTCTTGTATCTTCTCTGTGTTCCCTGCTCCCAGGCCCAGGGAAAGGCCATGAAAGCACTGCTGACCCCACTTCGAGAGGTCCTGACCCCAGAGTCTGATGTCTCCATCGAACATGTTCTGGCTGCCCGAGCTGACCTTTCTCGTCTGGTTCCAGCCACCAGTATGGCAGCCCGCCAAGGGACCTGCTGTGCCATCAACAAGGTGAGCACTAGGGGAGGGGAAGGACCTGGCATCCTTGATCTTCATATTGGCCTTGGGCCACACTTGTCCTTTCTTCTCCTGATTCCTGTTCCCGTGTTCTCCCTGGTTCATGGCCTCTGGACTCACCACCCTCAATCTACCCACTTCACAAGACAGCTAGAAGGAACTTTCAAACCCCAGGATCTGGCCATAGAGTTCTCTAGTTCCAAACCCTTCCATGGCTCCCCAGTGCTTTGAAACCAAAGTCCAACTATATGAGTCATCACCTACCTCTCCAGCTTAGGTTTAAACTTCTTCCCCATCACCTCACCCTGACTATTGTATAGGTTCTTAACGATGCTTTAAAATAGAAATACCCTGTGGTTTTTTTGTTTGGGGTTTTTTTTGGTACTGGGGATCGAACTCGGGTCCTTGTGCTTGTGCAGAAGGTGGGGAAACCACTGCACTAAATTCCCGGCCCTGCCCTGTGTTTTAATGATTAAATATTTAGTCTCATACCTCTGCCTAAGTGATCTTAAACTTGTGCACAAATGGATGGGCACTTAGGAAAAAACGCTAGTTTGCCAGAAATGTTATACAAAGCCCATAAATGAAACACAAAGTCAAGCTACTCTCCAAACTTCTGCCATCACCCTCCCTTTATTTCCCTTCTGTTGAGGCCCGTGGAGTCCCACCTGAAAGCTCCATTCGAGTATCTTCCACCAGTCTGGCCACTGTGCACAAATAGTCAACATTTGCCTTTCCTTCTTTATCCTCAAGCTGTTCCCTTTGCTCTCTGACCCCTTTACCCAAGGTATATTTCTGTCTCTGAAACTCAAGTCTAATCAACTCTCAGGTACTTATGGGAGATGTGCCAGACCGAGGGGGCCGCCCAAATGAGCTGGAGGCACCCATGCCCACCTGGCGGAGCCGGAGAGAAGATGGAGGAGGGCGGAAGGCAGGCCGCCAGCACTGGGGCCAGAAGAAGAAGAAGAAGTAAAGGAGGGTGAGGGTGTCTATCATGAGGTGCTGATGCCATTGGTAATCTGACGAGTCAGTTTGAGGGTTTCCCTTGGCACCTGGCACCCAAGCCCCTCTCCTCTATTCCAAAGGGTCCAAATGTCATGTACCTGTCCACTACTCAACACTGGAACCATGTTTTCTGGAAAATAAATTTAATTTTTGATGGCAATAGGACCTATCTGTGTGGGAGCCAGGTCAGAGGTGTATGGGCTTGTGGAGGGTTGGGGGTCTCTGGCCTGGGTCTGGTCAGGTCCCCACCCCTCTGACTACTAAGTCTTATGTTCTTCAGCAACACATTTGTGTCTGGTTGTGGGGAAGGACATACTCAGATATGGGACAGGACTTAGCATGTTTCTACCCTGGGCCATCCCTGTTTTAGGAACTGGGGATACAGCAGTGGAAGACATAGATAAAAGTCCCCGCTCACTTGGAGATGATATTTCTGGTGAGGAGGGGCAGACACCGAACAAGATAAACAGGTGAGATATATAGTTGTTAGAGGAGAAAAGCACTATGGAAAAAATAAAACAGGAAGGTAGGATTGGCAGTGGGGGACCATGTCTCTGAATATGATCAGGAGGGCCTCACCAAGAGGATATCATTAGAACAAAGTGCCAGACAGGGAGCTCAGGGGCCTCATGGGAAGAGGATTCTAGCAGAGGGAACCACCAGTGCAAAGGTCCTGAGGTAGGAGTATTTGGGGCATGTTCAAGGAACACTGAGGCCAATGTGGCTGAAGTAGGATGGGTGAGGGGGTGAGGGGTAGGAGGCAAGGTCAGAGACATGATGATCTTGTGGGGACTTGGGGGCCATAGGGAGGATTGGCTTTGCCTGAGTGAGAGGAGCCATTGAGGTTGAGCAGAGGTTGGATGGGACCTGATTCATGCTTAGAGGCTCTCAGCTCCAGGCCCTTCCCAGCCTTCTCTGCTGTCTCAGCAACCCCAGTGTTCAGAACTCTGCCCACTTCAGCCCTGCCCCTTCTGACCCCTCACCAATGTCCATCCAGCACATTGGCCCAGAGCTTCAAGTTTAGATGACCAGGATTTTTTGGAGTTTTGGTTTGGTTTTGGTTGTGGTTTTTTGAGACAGGGACTTGAAATGTAGTTCAAGTTGGCCTTGAAGTCACTGTGTAGCCCAGGCTGACCTCAAACTTGCAGTGACCCTCCTGACTCAGCCTCCTGAGTGCTGGGATTACAGGCAAGGACCAAGTTTCGAGTCCTGCGTCTCACCCTTGGGGCTCTGCCACCTTGGGCCAGCAGCTTAACCTCACCAAGCCTCAGTCTCCTCATCTGTGCAGTAGAGATTTAGGGAGTTGCTGAGATGATGCCTAAATTTGCACATACCAAAATGGAGCTACCAGATGCTAAGTATGGAAAAAGGGAGTTTGTGTAGTGGCCACCGTGATGCAAAAGAAGAAAAGAACATTTGCAGAGTAAGATGATGGCTGCTTCATCAAAGGCAGTGTGGGTGTGGAGGAGGTTTGTCTTTGGGGGTTCTGAGAAGATGGGGCTGGAGGGGAGGAGCCCAAGATGATGTCTAGGATTCCGGCTTGGAGGATGAGGTTCACGGTGGGATGGTCACTGGGAGGGGGACCTGGAAGGAGGAAGACAGGTGATGAAGGGGATGTAAGATGACTAGGAGGTACTTACTGCCAGGAGTGGTGCCTCATCTGGTGTGTGGCTAAGTGGATGAAAGGATGTCACCTGTGGACTGTTTGTGTGTGTGTGTGTGTGTGTGTGTGTGTGTGTGTGTGTGTGTGTTTCACTTCTTTTCTCATTCTGTAACTCGGGCTGGCCTTTAAAGTTGTGATCTGTCTGCCTCATCTTCCCAGGTGCTGGAATTACAGATGTGGACCACCATGTTTAGATTTTTGTAAACCAAACCTGAGTCTCTGCCTTTGAAGAGGGAAATTTACTCCACCAATATTTATTGTAGGTCCTGATATAATCGGCCTTATTCTTGCCATCTTACTGGTTTCCCCCCTAAACCCTTTCCTGTTCTAGGGGTTACTCCCCCTACACACACATATTGAAACTTCTATTTTCCTGTCAACATTAAAAGTTGATCCATAGCTGTACCCTCCCACCCAAGTGATTGAGGACTTTTGCATGTTTTTATTTTGCTGTGATTCCCCAAATTTGTCTAGTTTCCAGTTGAGGGTAGAGGGAAGTTTCAGCTCACCGTCTCTGGTTCTCAGGAAGGGTGTGGGGGCTCTGTCTGGGTCCAAGGAGGGCGAAGGTAGCACCTAGTCTCAGGTTCCAGGGACAGTGTGTAGGAGAGATTGTCCTCGGAGCCTGTTTGTAGAGCGATGGGTGGAAGGGATGTGTGTATGAAGGGAAGGATGTTAGAAATAATCCCCGTCTTCTGGGCCCCCTTCCCAGCACTGGTGTGCTCTGGCTCTCACCACAGCTGGCAGGGGGAGCTGGTGTGGGTGGGATGGGGGTCTCCAAGGGCCCTGCATCACTCTTGGCCCCTGGCCTCTTCTTACACTCTGCCTTCACTTGGTCCCTACAGTTCTTGTGGCAACACAGCCCACAGTCTGGGGGAAGAGAGGGGTTAGCACCCTCCAGCCTTCAGCCTGCAGGTCCCCGTGTCCCTCTCCAGGACACCCCACTCACCCTGACAGCGGTAGCCATGCTTGGTGACACCCCAGAGCTGGGAAGAGAAAGCAGAGGCTTGAGGCTTAAGGAGAGAGCAGTGGGCTGGGCTGGGCTGGGCTGGGCTAAGGGGCAGCAGTATGAAAGGTACTGAGTTTTTAAAATTCTCAAGAATTTGATGATTTGACTTGAATGAAAGGAACTTGGAGATTACCTCAAACTTGGGGAATCATGTAGGCTATTAGAATTTGTAAATTTTAGAGTTAACAAAATGCACATTCTGTGCTCAGGGACTGTGTTTATTGTTCCTGTGGTATCTGCATGGGAGGTGCTCAGTCCAGACTTAGTGGTGAAAGAATAAATCTGGGAAGTAATCTGAGGTTTATGCCCTGGTCTGTTTGAAGACTGGGAAACCTGTCCACAGTCCAGAGTTAGAGGGTGCCTTGGGTTTGGAAATGCAAAGGTTTTGGGTGATTTGGAGTCTAAAAATTTGGAGATGGATCCTCAGGACACAGTCTACTCAGGTGTGTAGATTACACAGCATTTTGGAGATTACCCAGGGATTTTTAGATATTATGCATGGCTTGGCAGTTGTCCAAGGTGGAGATTATTTGGAATTTGGGTCTTAACTAGAATGCAGAGATTATCCAGGCTGTAGGAATGTCCAGTATTTAGGGTTTATATGAAATGTGCAGATTATTTGAGTGTGGGGGGGTGTTTCTGGAATGTGAGAATTATCTGGGTGTGGGGGACTGCCTTCCCATGGCAGAGCTGGCTGCTGTGAGGAATTGGGATGCCTCAAGGGAGATGGGCTTGGAGGGCGCTAACAGGGCAGGGCGCTCACGAAGCCACTGCAGCTGTGACAGAAGGCGGGTTTTCGGAAGGTGACCTCCTGGAAGGTGTGCAGGAAAGCCAGGTCCAGTTTGGAGCAGATGACGGTGGCGCGGAGCAGGTACTCGGTCAGCTCCTCCCGGCAGAAGGAGCCGCTCCTGTGGATGGAGATCGCACCTCAGCATACTGGCACCTTCCTCCCAGCAACCCAAGGGTCCTCATCTTTGGGGGAACCAGGCATCAGGGCCACTTACTCTGGCCGCGGGGGTGGGTGAAGCCCACAGCAAGCGAAGGGGAAGTTGCCGGAGAGGCGTTCAAAGTCCTCCTGAGAGATGGTGCCTCGGCCTTCAGGGTCATAGTTCTTGAACACGGACTTGAGAGGAGCAGGGCGCGGAGGGTGAGGTCTGGTGCCCAAGCCCATCCCCACGGCCCGGGTGCCCTCTGCCTCTTCATAGCTGTGCCGAAGGCTGCCCTCCTTTCGCCCTGCCAGCCACAGTCCCTCCTACCTCCACTAGCTGCTCCACGTGTCGCTCCAGGGTGACCCTGTCGGGCCTGGGTGTCACTCCAGGTGCCCACTCCACCACCAGAAGCCCTCTGAAGGGGGGAGGTGGCTGGGAGAAGTATAGAGGGGCTTAGTTTGTGCACAGGCTTGAGCAGGAGAATTAGAGGTCGGGGTCTCTCACCATACTCTTGGGACAGCGGGGCTCTCGGGCATAGGAAAGCTCGTAGATCTCATCCTCCGTGTAGAAAAGATCCAGGGAGAGCTGAGGATGGGCAGGTGTTACAGGCCCTCTTGTGGCCATCTTGGACCCCTGCGGTGCTCTTTTTTTGTGGTGCTGGGGATTGAGCCCAGGGCCTTTGCCCTAAGCTACATCCCGAGCCCTCTCACCTCCCCTTTTTTGTTGTTGTTTTATTCTTTTGAGACAGGGTCTTACTAAGTCACTAAAATGTTCAGATTGGGGTCAAACTCAGGATCTTCCTGACTCAGCCTCCCAGAGCCCTGGGATTACTGGTAAGTGCCACCAAGCCCAGTGCAATAGCCCCACACCCCTTCATCCTCTTCCCCAAAACTCCAGAGATTCCTTAGGCTTTCTGTCCCCCATTCTCACTGAGGCCTTTTTTTTTTTTTTTTGGTACCGGGGATTGAACTCAGGACCTTGTGCTTGTGAAGCAGGCACTGGAACCACTGAGCTAAATCCCTGGCCCCAAGGCCTTTTCATGTACCTACTTAAAACTGCAACCCTGATCTCTTTCTGTGTGCTTTTTTTGGCCTTAGTTTTCTCTCTAACCCTTGTTGTCTAAAAGTAATAAAACTTAGTCATTTGATTTCATTGCCTATCTCCCTCAAGAATATCAGCCTTACAGAATAGTTAAGTTTTTGGGGGAGATGGGTATGGAGTAGTGCACCCCGGGCCTCTGCACTGAAGTACATTCTTAGCCCCCTTTTTAATTTTTTGAGACAGGGTCTCAATCTCTAAGTTACCCAGGCTGTCCTCAAAATTGTGATGCTCCTGCCTCAGCCTCCCTGAGTGCTGGGATTACAGGTGTGCACCACCATGCCTGGGTTGAATTTTTTTTTTCCCTTTGGTACCAGGGATTAAATTCAGGACCTTGTGCTTGAAAGGCAGGCCGCTGAACTAAATCCCCAGCCCATGGGTTGAATTTTTAATAATTCAGAATAAGGAGACCGATGTTTTCATTTTGCACTGGGCTCTGCCAATTATGCAACCGTCTTGTTTTAGGATATGAAAATTCACCTTTTTGGTCTTAGGCTACATGGCCCTCAGAATCTCTCATTGTAAAAGTCTTCAGGTAAAGAAGAGTTAGCTTTCTGCACTCAGTTCCAAGACTTAGTACAACTGTTAACACATTAACACACATCCTGTGAAGCTGTCCTGCTTTGATTTAAACACTGTTTTTACTACTAGGGGACAGTAGTCAAATGACCTCACATGTCTCTGGGTCTCAGTTTTCCAATCCATAGAATGAGCCCAAGAAGGTCCCCACCATGTGGGGTTGTGAATTGGAATGAAGTGATCTGTGGAGAGTGTTTCATGTGGTGACTGGCACATAGCAAGTGATCAATAGCTGTTAGTTTTTTGCTAAGATTCCAGATACATCAGTGCTTGGATTGGCATGACAATCTCAGAATCTGTAGCTGGGTTAGGGGGTGGTGCATACCTGTAATCCCAGCACTTGGGAGGCTGAGGCAGGAGGATTGCCACAAGTATGAGGCCAGCCTGGGCCACATAATGTGTTCAAGATCAGTCTAAACTACATAGGGAGACCCTTTCTCAAAAAAAAACAAAAAACCGTAGAACCTTGGTTCCAAGTATACAGTCCTACACCTGGAGTTCAGATCAGGGGATACTTGATCCTTAGAGGAACCTACAGAAAAATGACTTTCACTTATATAGAGCTCACTGTGCTCCAGATTCTGTTTCAAGTTTTTTAATATATAAATTATATTATTGGTTGATTCTTCTCAACTGCCCTCTGAAGCGGGTCCGTTTTGCTGAGGGGTTACGTGACAGGTTTGAGTTCCAGCACTATCTGTCCAGGCCCTGCAGAGCCTCCCTGCCCAGGACCCTAACTCTCAGTCCTTCTGGGCTCCACTCACCGTGAGCAGATGCAGCAGGTCCTCACTGGCACTGCACGGGGGCTGCTGCTGCTGGAGGGCTGCCAGCTCTTGCAGTCGAAGGTAGAGGCTGTTCAGCTTGGACAACTGCAGGCGGCCATCAGGCAACCTGTCAGGCTGTGCCTCCTGCAGGGACACCAGGTCCTTGAGGTGCACACCTAACACAGGCAACCGGAAGCCTGTGCAGCCAGCCCAGGTGCGGCGGTAGCAGGCATAGTTGTTGTGGGAGGCAAGGAGCTTGGTCAGCTCCAGCAGGGCCTGTGTGTAGGAGGGGTGTGTTATGGGAAAAGCAGTTGTTTCTCTAGCTTCTTTTAGGGAAGGATCCTGGTAGCTCCCTCTGTGGGTCTGAGCTCCTCCCTATCCACATTGGCTTCAGCATCTCCCTCAAACCACTCTCCTCTCGGGCCTCTATCATGGAGAGGCCCTACTCTTCCTCCATTCCCCAGGCTAGAGTAATTTAAAAACGTATCACTCCCAAACCTTTCCAGCTCCCCACTGCCCATAAAACCCAAACATCTTGGGGCAGCTAATGTAGGGCTCAACAAGATCTTCCCCTGGACATCTCCAGCCCCTTTCCTGACTTCAGTCTCACACCAGACTTCTAGACACTTCCCAGAACATCTTCCAACCCATGTTCCTCCCTTGAGTGGCCCACATGTTGGGATCTTTAGCTGGATGACTTAGCTGGCCACCTGGATGGCCAGTTGTCAGCATCTCTCTCATCTGTCTCCCTCCCAACCCAGCTCAGGATCAGACCCATGAGAAGAGAGAGGAGACAGTGCCATGTCAGGTGATAAGGAGGAGAAACCCTGTCTGGGGTTTTGGGATTCGGAGGAGCCACGTCTTCAGGTGGTTCCAGAGCCTGGCAGTGATTGATGGGGGCTGGGGACTTAACTGTGGGGTTCAGGACAGCTGAGAACTTGTAACTTTGGAGTGGGGTGGGGGTTCACCTTGGTGCTGTCAGGGCTCAGGTGGGCATGGGAGTCCTTGAGTCTGGAGATGGCACTGTGACACAGGCCCCCAGTGACTGCCATCAGTGTGTTGAAATTCTGCAGCTGGTGGAGGCTCTAGGAAGGAAGGCAATGCCAGAGATGACAGGTGTCACCAAGGGCAGGTCAGGTGGATGGAGTTCAATGGCAGCAGCTGAGTCGGTCTCAGGTGTGTGTGTGAGGGGGCCATTGTAGACGTGGGGCAAGACAGATAAGAGGTGCGTGTGCCGGGCAGGAGGAGCGCTGTGAGGTTAGACAGGCAGCGTGGGGAACTGGGTCGATGTAGGGGAACAGGTGTGTTTATCAGACAGGTGTGGGAAGATTTCGGCAGATGTCAGGACATCAGGCCTCTGGGGTCAGGCTGCTCTGAGAGTCACACAGCCAAGGGAAGTCAAGAGGCATGGGATGTGGGCGGAAGCCGGAACCAGGCAGAGGTGAATGGGCCAGAGTGATGTGGAGGGGTCAGAAGGACGGGAGACCGGCACGGGGGATTCCTTCACCCTTCCGTTTCCGAGTTTGAAGGGCGGAAATTGCCGTGGAGAGAGACAGGGAAGTGGAAGATGCTCAGACCATGGGGACCCCAGGCCGACGCCAGAACTCCCTGGTCTAGTTAGTAAAGGGCCCAGCAAGAGGAAGCAAAGTGACGAAGAGAACAGAGGAAGGGCGTGGTGCGCCTGGAAATATGCGAGGGGCGTGGCCCGGCCGCCTGGGCTTCCCTTTTCCCAGAAGAGAGGGGCGCAGCGAGGGGCGGGGCCAGGAGAGCCTGGGCTTTCGGGGGAGAAAGGGGGGCAACGTCCCCACTGTCCCCCAGGCGCCGATGGACTTCGGGATGGGACTTGAGAGACGACGTCAGGAGGGACTTAGTCAACCGCCGCGTCTAGGGTCACGGGCTGGGGAAGGGCGAGGCGGACGAGGTGAACAAAGGTCAGAGCAGCGGACAGTGGCCTCGGGGAGGGGCCAGGGCGGGAGCCGCGGCGCTCAGGTCGCTAAAGCGAGCAGAAAGACAGGGCGGCCTCACCTGTGCCACGTGAATGAACTTGTCCAGCACCTGCGCGCGATGTGCAGGCCCGGGACGGCTCAGCACCATGACCTGCACCCAGCGGGACACACTGTTGCTGAGACCTACGGAAGCCTCCAGGGCCGGGCAGCCCCGCACGGAGCCCTGCAAAACGTAGCCCCGCAGGTCCTGGGGCTGGGAGCAAGATGGGCGTCAGCTGGGCCGTGACCCTCACATGCCATCCCCCTAACTCCCCTAGCATGCAGGACCTCCGAAGTCCTAGCCCGAGTGACCTCTGTCATCTGTCTCCCCTCAAGCTGCCACGATGGTTCTCTCCCATCTAAGGAGAAATGTTTAAATAAAGTCAGCTACTATTCTGAGCACTTTATCATAGTAACTAATTTAATCCTCAAAACTCTACATGGTGACTAATACTATTATTATTATGTTAGAGATGAAGCAGTTGGGACACAGAGAGGGTAGGTAATTTGCCCAGCGTCACATAGGCACGAGTCAGGGCAGGAACCCAGTCTGTAGGCTCTTAACTTTGTACCTGGCCAGTACACAGTCAGCAAAGGGAAGAACTTGAAACCAACTTCTACTTGTTCTGTTCAACAGTATGTAATTCCATACCCACACCCATGGTACCATCTACAAGTGTGTTTACACACACAGAATCAGGAAATTTTCACATTAGGGAACCAGATCCCCACCTTGCCTTGGAACAATAATATCCAGAGGGCGTTAGGTAACCCACACCTACACTGAAGCATGAGACACTGACATTTGGTAGGTGAAAAATGGCAATTTCAAATGATTCTACCAGGCAGCATTTACTCTAGATGGGGCTCTGTTCCTGTTCCTTTTACAGATGAGGAAAATGAGTAAATTGAAATGCTTGTTGAGGAAATTAATAACTGATAAAATATCTTGAAGACTTACTACATGCCAGGTACTGCAACAAGCATTTGTAAATGCGATTCTTAATCCTTCCACCATCCAGTGAAACATTATGACTTTTACAAATGAGGCCAGCCAGGTTGGGAAACAGTTCAGAGACACCCAGATAAGAAAGAACTGATGGAACTCAAACCCAGGGGCTCTGTTCTCGGCCAGGTTAACTCATTTCCCCAGGTGTGACAGTTGAGGAGTTTAAGATCCCAGCTTTGAGTTTAGGGCTGTAGTTTGGTGGTAAAGCACAGGTAGGATCTCCAGCAACCCCTTCCAGCAAAAGTACCCAGCTGGATGCCCATGTGGGGGTCCCCCCCCACCTCAATCTCTGTCCTGCTCAGGGAGGGGTAGAGGTGGGAGGGGACTCCTCACCGTGATAGCTTGAAAGGACCGGAACTCCAGGTAAGTGAGGTGCTGGGCCAGCTCGTCCGTCTTCAGGTGGTCGAAAAGCAAGGACACTTTGCACTTTTTGCCTAGGTTTGGGCTGTTCATGGGAGGTGGGGGGCCAGGGCCACCAGGGCTCAGGCTGGGGGCCGAGAGGGACAAAAAAGGTGCAGAGGTGAGGGTCTAGGGGTGTGGTGGGAGACAACAGGCTGAGGGTGGGACAGGGAGGGGGCACGGGGCTGCCTCACAGGTTGGAGGTATCTCCCAGGCTCTTCTGGGCTGAGTTGCCTTTCTGGGTCACGGTGGCCCAGAAACGTGCTATAACGTCTTCTAGCTGGGGGTCCTGGTGCACTGCCTCTGGGTGCCGGCTCAGCCAGTACCTGAGAGTGGTTTCGAGATGGGTGGGATGAGGCTGGGCTAGGGTCGGGGAAGTCTTTTCAAGGGGTCTTTTGGGCTGAGGAATCTCTAGATGCTGAGTTAGGGGCATCTACATGTGTGCTTGGTTCTCTGGAGGGGCAGATTTGAAGGGGCAGTGGGATCTGGGGGTCTCAACACAGGCTAGGAGAATCTATAGGAGACATGGGAAGAGCTCTTAGAAGTGGGATTGATGGAAAGCATGACAGATGGGGTGTCCCAAGAAATAGTGTGGGTTCCTACTGTTGAGATTTGGGGAGAATATTGTGAGAGAGTCTAGGAGCTAGGCTGGGATATGTAGGAGATGGGGGCTGGGAGAGCAGAGCAGAGCTGGAGGTCTGACAGCTGGGGGAGGACTTAGGGGATCTGGTGGGGGTTCCAAGGAGCAGAACTGGGAGGATCTTAGGTACTTAGTCAGGGGGTACTTGGAGGGAATTTTAGGGAGAGCTGGGGATCTCTGAGAGGTGTTTTTTGGGGGGGAGCAGAATGGGAGTCTAGGTTCATGAGGGTGGGATCTTGGCCAAGCCCTACCTGACCAGGTGACATATTTGCAGCTGCCTCAGCTCCTGTCTGTCCTCTGTGGCCTTTTGGTACTTGAGTTCTGGTCAAGGCTCTGTTGTCTAGCAACCAGACCTACCTGCTCCCCTGTCCCATCTCCCAAGCTCTCAGGATTCTGCCCTCCTCCCTCCATCCATAACTCCTGGCCCTGGGAGGATATGAGGTCAGCAGACGGGCAGCAAGGTCAGCAGAAGGCAGCACCCAGCTGTGCATGGCCAGCACCATGTTGAGAATGTGGTCCCCGCGGCGAAGGCTGCCAGCTGAGTCTGGGACGGCAGAAGGGGGACCTGTCAGAATGGCCCTTGGGCAACAGTGTCTGGTTCAAGCCAGCTCTACAGTGATGCCCTGCAGGAACTCAAGACAAGCAGCCTAACCTCCTTGTACCTCAGTTTCCTTGTCTGTACCATGCAGGGGCCAGCCCCAAGCCTGGCAAGTTGAAGATGGAAATATCTTGTTGAAGATGGAAATATCATCTATCCTCATCTCAGGAGAAAGATAAATGCAGGTGTTTCTTAATGTAGCAATGGAGTTTTGTTTCAACCTCCCTTCATCCCAGGGCCTTTGCACTGAGCTATTTATCCAGACTTTTTTTATTTTTTATTTTGAGACAGGGTCTCACTAAGTCATTAAGTTGCCCAGGCTGAGCCTGAACTTGTGATCCTCCTGTCTCAGCCTCTCAGAGTGCAGGGATTACAGGCGGCACCCACCACCATGCCCAACTGACACACTCATATTATACCCCCAAACACAGGCTGAAAGAGGGAAGTATTTGTTGGGATGTTAGCTGTGGGGAGCTGGCTGGGCTGGTGGGGACACTCACCAAAGGATTGGATGCATTTCTCCATCAGCTCATCTTCACTGCAGCTTCCCTCAGCCAGCATGCCCAGATTCATGGAAGCCATGGCCTTGCTGATTTCCTGGGGGCTGGGACAAGTCTTGTGGCGCCGGGCCTGTCGGGGCCGATCCTGCCCCTCTGCCTTCCGGAAGCATTCCTGGTGGGACTTCCTGTGGGAACAGCCCCCTAGAGAATTATGAGAGCTACCCCCTTTATTGAGACAGGGTCTCACTTTGTAGTTCACGCTGGTCTTGGACTCACTATGTAGCCCAGGCTGGCCTCAAACTCATAGCAATCCTACCTCAGCCTCTCAAGTCCTGGAATTATGGATGTGCTCTACCACACCAGGCTGAGAGCCCCTTCTTTGAGCAGCCCCAGAATTCCTCTTAACCCCAGTGCCCCAAGGAATCATAAGAAAAACTTCCCATAGGCAAAGTCCCAGAATTACTCCTGATCTACCATGGACTCATGGAAGAGCTCCAGGAAATCACAGAAGACCTTCCAAGGAATCACAAGAACTCCTTCTCCAGCCACTGCCCCCAAATTCTCTGTCCTAAGTAAGATATCACAGAAAAGACTTCCTGTTGTCAGGCCAGTGGGATTTGTTCTGGCCTCCCAGGGAATCAAGGGGGAAGGCCCCTAGGATCACTCCGGTCCTCCCCAGGGGCACTCATGGGAGGGTCAGCCTTCAGGCTGATTCCTGGCTCAGCCCTCCTGGAACTGATTACTGCAGGGAAGCCCCTGGGATTTCTCTCTCCCCCTCAGCCTCCCTCACCCTGCGGCAGGTGACACACCCTTCCCCCAAGTCAGCTACCCCTTCACAGGGCCTGTAGTCCCTAATTTGGAGCCCAGAGAGGAAGTACCATTGTACAGTGGCCTCTTCAGGGCTCCTCGGAGCTAGGCGGGGTCCCTGGGGGTAAGGCAGCTTCAAGGAAAGTTTAAAAAGAACTCTCCCTCTGCCTGCTGCTCCCCAGGGCTCTTGCTCCAGGTAGGGAAAGAGGGTCAAGGAGAGATGAGATAAAAGGAAGAGGAGGGTGGGAGGGAGGGAAGAAAGTAGTCAGACAGAGTCAGACCAAAATGACTTCAAAAAATTTCTGCTGGCTATATGACGTTTTGTGAGTCATTTATTTCTCTGGTCCTCAGTTTCCTTGCAGGAAAGAGGGTCATCTTTGAACCTTCCCCAGGAATTTATTATAAACACCCATTGCCTGGCTTCTTGAAAGTGCTAGTAACAGAGTTGGTTTCTGCCCAGGCTGGTTAGTGTCCCAGAGGTGGAAAACCTGAACTTGAGGTACAGGAGAAAAAAGGAGGGGACAGAGAAGAAGCCTGTGGCACTGAGGTGAAACCAGAAACAGGAAGACCCTCAGGACAAAGGCACTGCCGTGTCCCCGGTACATCCTAGGGGCTCAGTAGATTGGTATTGGAGATTGAAAAAATTCGCTCAGTGTGGTGATGCATGCTTGTGATCCTAGCACTCTGAAGGGGCTGAAGCACGAGGGTCACAAGTTCCAGTGCAGCCTGGGTAACTTAGTAAGACCCTGTCTCAAAATTAAAAATAAAAAAGGGCTGGGCATGTAGCTCAGTGGGAAGCCCTGGGTACTGAAAAAATAATAAAAAATAAAAAGGCAGTTACTGAGTACTGACTAGATGCAAGGCAAGGGCAGAGCACTCTTTCTAGATCAGCTGTTCTCAAAGCACAGTTCCCAACCAGTACAAAGAGCATCACCTGGAAACTTGATTAAACACACATTCTCTCACATCTATGGGATCCAGAACTCAGGGTGGTTTCTGTCCAGCCACCTGTGTTTTTACAAGTTCTCAGCATGGTTCCGCTACATGTTCAGGTTTGAGCACCAGTGGTCTACACTGTTATACTGAACACTCACAGGCCCTTCATCACAGGCTCTATGATTATTCTATTAACAGAAGAAGAAACTGAGACACAGAGCAGCTCAGTAATTTACTTAGTTACAGCCAGGAAATGAAGCAGGTTAGGATCCCATAACTGAACTACTGAATAATAAGGGGAGAGAAAAACTTTGCTTCTCAGAAGCATCCTGGGGGTGCTGGGGGAACCACCTAGTGGGCTCCTTTGATTACAGGAGGTCAAGCTTGCCAGGAGACAGGAGTCCATTCCAGAACGTGCCGGCACAGGCAGCTGCTTGGGTCTCTACCTGCAGACTGGCAGTGCCTGGTAGAGTCTGCAGCAGCCCAGAGAGGTTTAAGAGGCAGGGAACGGCCTCACTCCACTGCACCTTCCTCTCTCCGGGGGCAGGGCCCTCAGGAGGCTAGTTTCCAGTCCACTGTGAGAGGGAGCCAGAAGACTCCGGGGAGAACAGAGCCTCCCAGCCCAGGGAGCTGGGATGGAGAGGGGGTGAGGAGGGAGAAGGAACACTGGATAGCTCAAACACCAGAGAAGACCAGACATAGACGTGCATGTACAAGCAGCTGCTGCCCTGCTGGCTCTGGATCCCCTGAAACATCTCCTCGCCTGCACCCTCTCAGTCTGGTCCCAGAGGAGCCAGACATCCTACCCACCCAGTTAGTATTTTCCCAATCTTCCCACACAGCCGGGGGGCCGGGAGCCTAGGAGGCTCCCTGGCCCTTTGGGGAGGGTCCTCTCACCTTTTTATGTCTTTCCTATTCATGGTCCCTGGATGGGTGAGGGGTCCTTGCAGGAGCTGACTCAACTCCTCCTCACTGGGCCAAGGTTCCAGCTTCTCAGCCCCTTGGGAGCTGGGGCCTCCTCGGTGCTTGGGAAGGAAAGAGGAACTGCCCCTCCCCACCCACCCCCAGGCCAGGGGGAAGGAAGAGGCTGGGGAGAGACCAAAGGCTCCCCTCCCCCCACGTGGGGATCCCTGCAGGCTGAGGTTTCCGGCACTGCTGCCCCACCCCCCTCACCCAACCCGGCTCCTCCGCTCTCCGCTATCTCCCCATCTTTCTTGTCTTGAGACCCATCACTCTCATACTTCAATAAAAGCAGTTTTTTAAAAGTATGACTAATATTTATATAAAAACACATACACACTCAAAGGAAAAGTCTGTATTTCTATAAGGACATATTCTTATATATAAAGCACAAAGATTTGACTGGAAACTCACAAGACAGAATACTTTGTGCCTTTCTTCTTCTGTTTCTTTTATCCCTGGCTGTTTTAAGGATACCATTCGTACCCTGGAAAATATTTTCACTTTATTTCTTTTAATTTAATGCCCCCTTATGTAGCACCTACTGTGAACCATACACTGGTCTAAGAGCTTTTAAAATATTAACTCAATGCACTGTTGTCATTATAAAAATATTGCAGGTGGAGGTAACCCCGCTCCACTCCCCATTGTCCCCCTCAGGCAGGAGAGACCAAGATTACATGTAATAACCTAATGAGGTTTCCTCTGAACTATGCCTGTGCATTCATCTACATAAATGTGCGTCCATGGAAACAGACTTTTCTTTTGAGTACGTGTGCTTTTCTTTTACCTAAATGTGTCATACTTGACATATTTTTTAATTGAAGTACAAAAAAGGGACACACATTGTTAAGTATTTAGGTTGAATTGTCACCAATTGAGGAAAGCCACTTGGCATTCATATAAATGGAGAAATAGAACATTTTCATCTTCCATGAGCCCCCTTGCACCCTTTCCTAACACCACCTCCCACAAGTTACCACCAGCCTGGTGTCGAACAGTAGTTTTGTCTACTTTTAAGGTATAGATATGTAGACTCATGTGTTGTGTCTGGCTTCTTTCATTTGGCATCATGTCTTCATGAGTCTTCTGTTCCTTTACTTGGTTACAATTTCTTCCTTTTTGCTATTGTATAGTCCTTTTTATTGAGCATAGTTCACAAAATCAGATATGTATTAATTATACAATATCATTTTTGTGAGATACATGTACATTGTGAAATGATTACTATAATCAAGGTAATTAACCTATCTGTCATCTCACATACTCATAGAAATTCTTTTTTTTTTGGTACTGGGATTTGAACTCAGGACCTTGTGCTTGCCAGGCAGGTGTGGCACCACTAAGCTAAATCCTCGCCTCATAGCTAAATCCCTGGCCCTAGAAATTCTTAATTTTCTGTGCTTCAAAACATTTTACAATAGTACAAATTAAAAAATAACCCTTCTTAAACAAAGCTGAGGCATGGTGGTGCATGCCTGTAATCTCAGCATTCTGGGAGGCCTCCGGAGGGAAGAAGATTGTCAAGTTTCAGCCCAGCCTGGGCAATTTACTGAGATCCTATCTCAAAATGACAAATAAGGGCTGGGGTTGTAGCTCAGATCAAAGACCCAAAGGCCACGGGTTCAATCCCTATTACCATAAAAAACAAACAACAAAGAAAGAAACAAAAACTCTTAAATAAAAAGAAAAATATGCTCAGCATCTCACTCCTAGAGACAGACTAAAGCAATTAAGAGAATAGCATTCTGGACTATTTCTTGATCTATACATGAATGTGTTTTTGAAAATAAAAAATCAGCAATTCCCTATATACTTTCTTATAACCTACTACTTCACTTCCCAAGGTGTAGAGAACACCTTTTCATCTCAAAAAAAATCATGTCAACATCATGATTTCTTTCTTTCTTTTTTTTTTTTTTTGTACCGGGGATTGAACTCCGGACCTTGCACTTTTGAGGCAGGCGGCGGAACCTCTGAGCTAAATCCCCAGCCCAACATCATGATTTCTTAATGATTTTTTTTTGAGATAGGGTCTTGGTCTGTAGTTCAGGCTATCCTTAGGCTCACTATGTAGCCCAGGCTGGCCTTGAACTCTTGACCATCCTTCTGCCTCAGCTTCCCGAGTGCTGGGATTACAGGCATGCACCACCATACCCGGTTTAATGATTTAATTAATAGCTTTTCCCCCCCTTCTCCCATTGCCCTCCCTTATTGTATAGTCTTTTATTGTGTGACAGTTCCATGATATACTATCCATGATATACATCACTTTTTCTGTGATGAACAGTTGAGTTGTTCCCTTGGGGCCGTTATGAATAATGCCATGGTGAATATTTTGTTTGTTTCTGTGGTAGTGCATGGGATAGGACCCAGAGCCTTGCCCATGATAATCAGGCACCAACTACACCCCAGAACTGCTGTGCATATCTGAGCACTTGGCTTTTAGTAAACATAAATGGTACAGTTTTATAGCTTAGCACCCAAGCATGGAATAAAATGGGTCACAGGAGTATGTATGATTCTGCCAAACCTGGTATGGTAACCAATTCAACCAAACACCTCTTTCAGAAATATATTTTTGTTCTTTTCTTATTCTTGCTAAAAGAAATCATTTTAGGTTTTTCTTTTTCTTTCAATGCCACAGCATTTAGAAAGTCATGGAGCTTGTTCTGTTTAGAATACACACAGATCATCTTGGCATGGTAGTGTATACCTGTAATCCCAGCACTTTGGGAGGCTGAGGCAGGAGGATTTTGTGAGACCCTGTCCTAAAATAAAAAATAAATAAGGGCTGGGGATGTAGCTCAGTGTGAAGGTCCCTGGGTTCAATCCTGAATACTGGTCAAAAAAAAAAAAAGTTTGAAATGCTCCTCCCCTCTCTCTCCCCCTTCTGGAGCATTTCTCCCTTGAAGTTCTGTCTGCCTCTCTTTCAGTCCGTCTCCTGAAGCATCTGCTCCCCTGAGCGGCTGATAGTGTGGGAGTCACTAGACTCTGGGGACCTAGAAAAGCCACAAGGAGGGAGCTCGGAATAAGCTCTGCCTCTTGTATAGGGGGACATTCAGCCTTCAGGACCCTCAGGATCGTGTTATCAACAATGACAACACTGATGACCATACAGGAAAAGATTTCTGATTTAAACTGCAAAAGCCCACAGGGCAGAAAAATGATGCATTTGATAACAAATATGGATTTTCTTTTAACAAGGATACCATGGGGAAAATATCAGATAACAGAAAAGGAAAAGGCATTTGCAATGTTTAGGATCAATGCAAAAATATCTAGGGTGTCAAGGGAACCCCTGCAAGTCAGCAAGAAAGAAAAAACCCAGCAACTTCCATAGAAAAGTCAACAAAGAGCATGAGCAGGTAACAAGGAGCCCCAGAACTCTGAGACACCCGAAAAGATGAGGGAAATCATTGGCCGATGATGAGAGACATCATAAGGACATTGTAAGGACAGTGAGTCATCTCATAGGTCTGGCAGAAATTAGAAGCTGGAAAATGCCAAGTGCAGTTTGGGGATGTGGTGATCTGAGCCCTCAGGCAGTGACAGCAGGCAGACATCCACAGGGGCACTTGGCACCACTTGGGCAAACTGTATGCATGGGTTGACACTGGCCATCAGCTCTTGAGTGTGTGCCCCAAGTTCTCTCCCTCAGCTCCATGAGGGGACACTATTTTCAGGGAGCTGGGGTCACCTGGGTGCCCACCCACGGGGCAGTGCATGAATAAACGAAAGGCATTTATCACCGAGAAGTCCTGCAAAGCCACCCCTGCCACCAACCAGGGGTCCACACAGCCACACGGATAAGTCTTCAAGCACATAGTGATGACAGACAGAAATGAGAAACACTATTAATATCTTGTGGTATAATTCACAGTGACACAAAATAATTTTAAATTCTGTATAAAAAGTTAAGGAAAACAATATTCAATACATAACTACATACATGCTATATAAGATATGGCAAAGTCTTTTGAGATACAACAAAACTGTATTGGGCTGCATAATTATATTAGCATAAATATGTAACATATTACATAATGCATAATTATATAATTCAAAAATATAGTACAAACTTATGTGCTATTTAATACAATTGTATTAGCATCAGTGTTTAACTCTGTAGCACCTAGCCATCTCTTATACATTAAATAGCACTTTATGATTTCACTGAACTATAGATTACTTTATATAACTTTGTATGTACATTACATGCAAATAATAATTTTAATAGACCCCTGTATTAATCACTTACCATATGGTAGGTGCTAATTGATTTCCTCATAGAATCTTCCTCAAGACACCATAAGGACTCTTCCAAATTAGCCCAGTTGACAGATAAGGAAACTGAAGCCTGAGTTCCAAAGTCATCTACCTGCCCAGCACTAAGGTCTAGGGGTATGTGGTCCCTGCTATGGGCCTGTGGAGTCCAGTTTTAGGACATTGCCAAGGCCCTCCTGCCTGGGCTCCCCGCAGCACAGAGCAGTCAGGGAGCCAGCAGTGTCCACCAGAACAAATTCTCTGGCTTCTTTTCTCAGTTTACAGAGCCCACGGTGCTCACTGCATAAAAGAGTAGCTTGCCTAGCTGCAGACAGGGCAAGGAGGAGAGGGGAGGAAAGAACCCTTGGAACCCAAGCTTGGGGGTGGAGTCTGGCCTTGGCAGTGGGTTTTTGTTATGATTAGATTTTATGCAAATATCCTGGCAGTAAAACATAATGGTTAAGAACCCTAAATCGGCTGTGGTGGCCCAAGCCTGTATTCCCACACTCAGGAAGCTGAGGCATGAAGATCCACTGCAAATTTGAGGGCAGCCTGGGGTATGTAGTGAGTTCAAGTTCATCCTGAACTATCTAGAGAGACCCTGTCTCAAAACCAAACCAAACCAGACCAAACAAAACCAAACCAAACAAAACACAAACAGGCACAGATAAAGGATGTACTTCACATGATTGTTGTGAGAACTACAAGATTTATTTGGGTTATGTCCTTAAAACTATACCGGTAGAGGGCCAAGGATGTAGCTCAGTGGCACAGTGCCTGCCTGGCAAGTGTGGGGCCCTGAG